TCACTGCAGCCATGAAATTTAAAGATGATTGTTCCTAGGAAGAAAAGCATTGACAAAGATAGACAGTGTTTTAAAAGGCAAAGACATCATTTTGCCAACAATTATCTGTATTGTCAAAGCTATGGTTCTTCCAGTAGTCATGTACAGTTGTGACAGTTTGACGATAAAGAAAGCTGAAAAAAAAAAAAGTGAAGTCGCTCATTCATGTCCGACTCTTTGCAACCCCATGGACTGTAGCCTACCAGGTTCCTCCGTCCATGGGATTCTCCAGGCAAGAATATTGGAGTGGGTTGCCATTGACTTCTCCATGAGCTCTTAAGAATTGATGCTTTCAAAATGTGGTGCTGTGGAAGACTCTTGAGAGTCCCGTGGGCTGCAAGGAGAACAAACTAGTCAATCCTAAAGGAAATCAAATCTGAATATTCACTGGAAGGGACTGATGCTGAAGCTCCATACTTTGGCCTCCTGATGCGAATGCTGCCTCATTGGAAAAAAACTGTGATGCTGAATAAGATTGAAAGCAAAAACAGAAAGAGGTGGCAGAGGATGAGATGGTTGTATGGCATCACCAACTCAATGAACATGAGTTTGAGTAAACTCTAAGAATAGTGAAGCACAGAGAAGTCTGCCGTGCTACAGTTCATGGGGTTGCAAAGAGTCAGACATGACTTAGCAATTGAATATCAACAACAAAGTACTCGTGAGGTTTATTGGTGATAATCAGCCACTGAGCAGATTCTACCAGCCACCTGATGAATGATGGGCACACAAGTTCAGCCAGTTGTCTCTTCATTATTTGTCACATTATTATTGATAACAGATATCTTTTGCCTTCCATCTAAAATCCACCACTTCACTTGTTGGGTCAAAAATAGAAATTCATGTTCTGGTAAACAAATTCTAGGAAAATATGAGCTCCTAAATATTATAAATATATAATAATATATTTCATAAATAAATATTAACTCAAATATGAGTTTCTTTGTACTACATACAAAGGATCACAGACTTTAGAGTCAAACCGTCCCTCTGTTTATTCACTAGGGGATTTTTTAAGCAACTTTAAAGTTTAAACTTAGAGTCACTCACAAGCATGATTCCTCCCAAAGTCTGGCACGTCATCTAGCAATTTTGTGCACATAGTGTATTTTCATAACACATATTCTTTAAAAAAGAAGAAGCCCTTAAATTATGTAAGCCCCTACACCAACAAGTATTGTAAGTACACCTCCTACTTATTACTCCACTTCCAGTAATATTGGTAACTGACTACACAAATGAGTTACTTATTTATTGGGTTGGCCAAAAAGTTTGTTCAGAGTTTTCAGTAACATCCTACAGAAAAAACAATTTTTTTTTGGCCAACCCAATATATCTCACTCAGTTCTCTCATCAATAAAGTAAGGAAAGGAACTTTTCTGGCAGTCCAGTGGTTAAGAATTTTCCTCCAAATGCAGGAAGTGTGAATTCAACCTCTGGATGGGGAACTAAGATCCCACATGCCTGGCAGCCAAAAAAACAAAACAAACAGAAGCAATACTGTAGCAAATTTAATAAAGTCTTTTTTTTAATGGTCCACATTTTAAAAACTTTATAAAAAAGAGTGGCACAATATATTTTAAATTATTAGAGGGGAAAATCTACAACCAAGATATTCTACCCAGCAAGACTCTCATTCATATTGGACAGAGAAATCAAAAGCGTCACAGGCAAGCAAAAACTTAGAGTTCAGCACCATCAAATCAGTCATACAAAAATGCTAACGGAACTTCTGTAGGTAAGGGAGGCAGAAAAGAGGCCACAGATGTATATAAGAAAATTTAAATGGGAAACCCCACAGGTAAAGGCAAACATAAAGTAATTGTAAGATATCATCCACCCACAAATATGATATCAAAACCAGTAAGAATTATTAAAAGAGAAGAACACAACTGCAGGAAATGGGAACTACATTTGAAATTAAGAAACCAGAAACTTAAAAGAACCTTGTACATATATAGATTGCTATTATCTATTATCCTCTTGGTGATAGCTATGGATGAAAACCAATGGTCAATCAAAAGGAGAAACAGAGCATCTTTTCAAGCCAACCTGGGCACTATAATCTGGAAGACAGACTTCCAGAAAATTCTGAAGTCTGTTCTGTTTGTTAGAAGTTGAAGCCAAAAAAATAAATGTTTCAAGACAAAGAATCATACATCAAAGTGTCACATTGACATTTGTCCAGTTCTGAATGTAACAAGTGAGAATAGGTCACCATGACCCGTTTCGGTTGAGCTTGCATCCCCGATTCGGTTGAGCATGCCAACCACAGAGAAGGTCTGGTTAATGTCTAACATAGATGTACTTTAAGGAGGGACCAATTAAGGGCCGGGAATATGCTATGCTTCAATTCTCAAGGTTCTTTTAAGTTTCTGGTTTCTTTTTTTTTTTTTATGGTATCATACAGAATATTTTATTTTCTTTATTTTATTTTTTTTTCCATTTATTTTTATTAGTTGGAGGCTAATTACTTTACATCATTGCAATGGTTTTTGTCATACACTGAAATGAATTAGCCATGGATTTACATGTATTCCCCATCCCAGTCCCCCCTCCCACCTCCCTCTCCACCCGATCCCTCTGGGTCTTCCCAGTGCACCAGGCCCG